AATTATAAATATGTTTAATAAATTATTAGTATAAACTATAAATTATATATAAATTATCGGTTATTATCACCAATACATTTGATTTTTATTAATAATTAAATTTCAATAAAAAAATTAAGTTAAATTAAATTAAAATTTGTTTGTTACTAAGCATATATATAATTTATATATATATATATATATATATATATATATATATATATAGATTAATTTAAATTAATTGTGTAGTAATTATATATATATATATAAACTGATTGAATGGCAAATATATTTAAATAAAATTATGGTTTAATTAGATTAACTGTTAATAAACAAAAATTGAAAAACAAAAATTATATTGATAACTTTTCGTAATCATAACTTATTTTAATTAACTTTTAGTAATCATAACTTATTTAATATAGATATATTGAATATGATACAATATTACTCAAAGTTAACATGTATATTTTTTTGTTAAAAAAATTAAAATTATCTATATTTTGTTGTTACTATGCATTTATATACTAATACTAATAAACTTTTATATATAATGATTAAAAGTTTATTTATTTTCTTTAAAAAAATTGTTTAAATAGTTAACAACAAAAATAATATACTTTTTCTTAAACAATATATAATAATAATAATTGTTTTAATTAATTAATTGCTTAATATATGATTTATAAATATATTGAATTCATATATAAACTAAATTGTAAGTAATATTTAAATTTATTAATTTTTATTTGTTATATATATATATATGTATATTGTATTTATATAATGTTTTTGCAATTAATACTTATTATATCAAACAAACAACAAAAATATTTGATTAGAAAAATTGTCATCAAATATTAAATACATTAAATAATGTATTAGTATTTATTGGATATACAGTATATATAATATACATGTATATATAAAATGGTAAATATTATTACATTAAATATGTAAATAAAAATAAAAAGCATATAATATATTACTGTTTATTTACATGTATAATATTAATATTGTTGATTATAATGATATATATTAATCACTAATTAAACATTAATATATTTATTTATTTTTTGTTTTGTTTACAAAATAGGTAAACTAGATTTTTTGTGGATAAGTAACTGGATGAATTTATTTTAACTAACTTATTAAACTTATTAATTATTGGATTTAATTAGTAATACTGTATGATTTAATATTTTAGTATTTTAATAAAATTATATTTTTAGCAATATATATATATATATATATATATATATAATAATATTAATAATAAAGTTTATAATTAACTCGTATATATATATTTATGTTTCATTAAAAATTTATTTATTTTCCAATTTTTTATTTAGGAAAAAATTTAATTCAAACTAAATTTTTAGATTTTGTTTCTAAAAATATATATATAATTAATTTAGATATTGTTTTTATTTATTAAAAATACTGGTCTCAAATATTTTGTAACTAATTTATTATAACTTATATATTTATATTTATATAAACAGTATATATAGTGTATGATATAATGAAATATATTTTATTTTTGTTTATTTAGTAGAAATGTTTTCATATTTCCCATTAAATATGTCATAAATAATAATAATAATTAAAATATAATTATTATGCAAACTTAACATCACATATATATATATTAGATTTTTATAATATAAAACTACTTAATGTACTTAAAAATTTTATTTTGCTTAAATTAAACAATTTTTATTAAAAAGTTTAGACAAAAATTATCAAATTGACAATTAAAATATACTTAAAATTTAATTTAAAACTAAAAATAATTTACGTTTAAAATATTAGTATAGGTTTATTAAAAGCATTTAAAATAAAAATAACAAAAATTTTAGTTTTAATTTGATATTTAGATAAACTATATATATATATATATATATATATATATATATATATATATACCGGTATATATATTTGATTAAAATTATTGGCAATTAATTGTTTAAACAATTGTTTTGTTTTTGTATTATAAATAAATATTGTTTAATTTTTTAACATTAATATAACAATTTTTTTAAAAAATTATTTCAATTAATAATAAATATATTAATGTTTTTCCTTATAGTTGACTAATAATAATAATATTATTGTTATTATAGACTAAAATAAATTATTATTAAATTTTATACCTAAAAAAATGTTGTGAAACAAAATAATAAAATCAATAAATCAGTGATCAATCATTTAAATGTTAAATGTAAAAGTCATTTAAATGATTAAATAAAATATGTTTTGATTTTTTTTATTATTATTATTAACAAAATAATGTTATTTTTAATCTTAATTAATAAATTAAACAAAATAGAAAAATATTAAAAATTTATTTATAGAAATATAAGCTAAAAATATATTCAATTAGTTTATTAAAAAAAACATAGTTTTTAAAGTTTATAATTGAAAATTGTTTATCTATTAAAATTAGCCATGCTTAAACATTATTATAATCACAATCAATCATATATTTTTTGATTAATAAATTCATAGTAATAAAAATGCAGTTTTTATTATTATTAATTAATTTATTTATTTATTTATTTATTCAATATTTATAAATTAATTTAAATTACAGTAATCTATTATTATTAAAAAATTTAATTTACAATAATTATATAATTAATATAAACAATTGATTTATGGATAAGTAAAAAAAATTAATTGTTAATTAAATAATTAATAGTTTTATAAATTTATTTAACTAATTAGTTAACATTTGATGAGATCATTAATTATTTATTTATTAAATAATTTATTAATAGATATAAAAAATGATAAAATTATTTTAATTATTGTAATAAAATTAATAATTTTTATAAATAAAAATAACAAAAAAAAATATTTGAAATTATTTTTAAAAAACAATTATAAATTTGTAAAATGTGTCAAAATAATTTATAAAACACTTGTAAATTATTTACAATATATATATATATATATATATATATATATATATATATTAATTGTAATAATTAACAATATAAAAAACCAAATTTTATTAATTATATTTACACATATTAAATAATTAAATAATAATAATTAAATTGTTTAAAATTTATTGACAATTTTGTAAACATATAACATATATATATATATATAATATTTATAAAATGATAAATTTCCATATTTTTGTAGTTGTTTAATGTTTATCATAATATATTATTTTATTTTATTTAAAAAAATTAAAAATAAATAATTTAATTACAAAATTTATTAACCGATTGCTTAAATGATTTTACCTGTAATTATGGTCAACAATAAGTACCTAAAAAAAATAAATGTAAAACAACTAATCAAAGCAAGTATTATGTCTATTATTTTGTCGATAATTTTTATTTTATTATTATTTTTTAATTATTATTTTTAATCATTTTTAAAAAAAACAGCAATTCATCAAACAGTTTGTCCAACAATAGAGAGGCGACAATAATACCGAAATAATGTTTAAAACTATTCAATTGATTGATTGATTGACGACAACACCTGTGAAACCAAAAACCCAGTTATGATTACAGCAATGGATATAAGCTTTCAAATGACTAATAATATAAAAACAATTAATTAATTAATTAATTAATTAAATTTAATTGATTGATTGATTCAGACAAGTATTGCTATTTGTTTTTTTTGTTAGCAATTATCTAATTATAGGTATATCTATATATAGTTAACTAATTAATAAAAGCTAATTATTTATTGATTATTTTGATTATACTCTATATATATGTTAAATAATGATTTTAATTTTAGGTTTTTTTAAAAAAATTTTTTAAGTTAATATTTTATAATAATATATATATCATTATATATAAATAGATATACAAATAATAATATACTGTATAATAAAAGTTTTATTATAATTCAATTGTTTAATTAATATTATTATAAATTATAATAAATATTATTATTTTTTATTACCAAACAAAAAATGATTTGTAAATATTCTTTAATTATAATCAAAAAAAAATTTAATTAATTTTTTTTTTATTTAGTTTTAATACTACTGTTAAATAATAATTATGTGCTAGGTTAATTTTTTAAAAACATTTTTTAAAAACTGTAAAAAATTAATTGACCCAAAAATTATCTAATTATATAAATCTTTATAATTATAATAATTATTATAAGTAATAAAAAAAACGCTTTTGAAATGCATGGCTAATATGGCTCCTCTCGGAGAGAGAGAGAGAGAGAGAGTATGAGAGAGTAATACAGACACTTAGATATACAGAAAGTTCATATACAGTGTCCATTAGATACAGATTTTTAGGTTTTTTTTGTTCATTAAAGTAGTTTTTTTTGGTTTCATTAATAAAGACAAAGTAGTAATTATGATATCAACAAAAAAAATTGATTTATTTTTATTTATTAATCAAATGATAGAAAATATTGTTTACAATCATTCATATCATATATATAGTCATAAATAGACTTTAGATTAGCATTTGTTATATATATAATGTTTTTTAAAAAATATTTCATTAGTTAAATAGTTATTATAAATTTTGTTAAAATATTTTTTTTTGAGAGAGAGAGAGAGAGAGAGAGTACACACAAATTGCAATTATACAAAATATATGGGTTATTAATATAACAAATTGTTGTCTAAAAAAACATTTTTAAATGATTTTTTTGTTGTAGAAAATGAATGCTTGAATGCGAGACTATAACGGACACCAACAGTGTCGGGACAGTCGGTCCCTAAAAAAAACCTGAAATACGTAAGCATTGTTTCATAACTCATAGTATGATAATAGTCGGGTAGTCGTGTCCTCCCAAGTGATCCTCAAAAAAAACTACCGAAAAAAATATCGATCTGATTTAAAAAACACGAGTCCAACGGTGTGTCCATACAGTCGAAGGCGCCGTCGACTTACGTATGTCTTCAGAGACATCCAGTCATCGATGGTATGCTTGAAATGAAAACCCATTTCTACCTCAAGTATCAACAAAAAAAAACATTACAATTGTCTTTAAAATAAAACAAATAACAAAATTAAACCCTTATTTTGGTTTCATTGTAGAATTGATGTGAAAAATATTTGTCTAAATTTTTTTTATTAAACAAAAAATAAATTTTTAGATTTTTTTTTTGAGTTACTTTTATAAGTAAATTAATTAAATTAAATCTAAAATTACTGAAAAATTGTTGTCCAAATGTATGGATCAATTGCATAGTAACTTTGAATATAGTTTTGAGTGACCTCTGGTTCTTACCGTTGAAAACACTGCTAACAACTTCGGGAAAATGTTTCGGGAAATTATTAATTGATTCAAATTGGGTTTGAATTGTTAACTAAATTAAAAAAAAACAAAAAAATAAATAAAAATAATAAAAACAAATTGCACTCATTGTGTGTGTATGTATGTGTATGTATGTATGTATGTGTGTGTGTGTGTGTGTGTGTATATATATGTGTATGTATGTATGTGTATGTATGTGTATGTATGTGTATGTATGTGTATGTATGTGTATGTATGTGTATGTATGTGTATGTATGTGTATGTATGTGTATGTATGTGTATGTATGTGTATGTATGTGTATGTATGTGTATGTATGTATGTATGTGTATGTATGTGTGTGTATGTGTATGTGTATGTATGTATGTGTGTGTATGTGTGTATGTATGTATGTATGTATGTATGTATGTATGTATGTATGTATGTATGTATGTATGTATGTATGTATGTATGTATGTATGTATGTATGTATGTATGTATGTATGTATGTATGTATGTATGTATGTATGTATGTATGTATGTATGTATGTATGTATGTATGTATGTATGTATGTATGTATGTGTGTGTGTGTGTGTGTGTGTTTGATATCATATAATAAATTAATTTTTATTGATAATAATTTTAGCAATAATTTTAATAAAATATTAATAGTTTTATTTTTTTTAATTAATTGAACTCAAATTAATTAATTAAATTAAATCTAAAATTACTGAAAAATTGTTGACCAAAATGTATCGATCAATTGCAATGAAACTTTTGAGTATAGTTTTGAGTGACCAACACTTCGGGAAAATGTTTCGGGAAATTATTAATTGGATTCAAATTGGGTTTGAATTGTAAACTAAATTAAATAAAAACAAATTGTACTCATAGTGTGTGTGTTTTTGATATCATATTATAATTTTAGTAATAATTTTAATAAAATATTTTTTTTTTTTTGAATAAATGTATTATCATTAATAACAGTATTGAACTAATCTGCTAATTGTATTAAAAATTATTGGATATATTTTTTTTGTTAGGGAATGGGATGTAATGAGAGAGAGATAGGAGTATATACCTAACAATTTCCAGATATACCGTCTCTACTATCCATCCATACGAACCAATTTTGCGGCAAATACTTGAACCGAACTGCCCATCGATAAGACAACTATCGACGCATTGATTACTATTATATCTAAAATACAAAAAAAATACAAAAAGAGATTACATTTAATAAAAATAATTTTTTTTGTTATTAAAAAATAATGATATTTATTATTAATAATTATTACATTAATAGTCAATATATTAATTGATTATTAACTCCCTCTTTCTCTCATTAAATATATTAATATTAAAATGTATTGATTTTAGATTATATATAAATTTATATATATTTAAAATACTAAACTAATTTAACTATTTTTAAATAATTTTGTTGTTGTTTGAAAAAAACTAATTTACATTTTAGTATTATATAAATACTATGACTAAAAAAAAACATTAGAAAATGATATATAAATTTAATAAAATAATAATAATAATAATAATAATAAATAATAATAAATAAATAAATCATAAATAAATAAAATAAATAGTAAATATCTATAAATTTTATTATATATTACATAGTGTCAAATATTGTACATTGGGTATATTTAATGCAATAAATTTTAAAGTAAAAATTATTAATAATTATAAAAAAATAAAAATATTTTCATTTAAGTAAAAGTATACCGAAAATTATAATTTATGTAAATAAATAAAATAAAAAGTTTTGATACAATAATAATAATAATAAAACATACATAAATAATAATTGTTTGAAATTAAAATTAATTAACTAATTTACTTAACTTTTTAACTAACAAACAAAAACAAAAAAAATAATTACTAATAAAAAAAACAAACAAACAAAAAAAGTATCATGATTATTTTTTATATTAGCAAATAATATTTTAACCTTTTTTTTATAAATTTTTTTTTTATTTAAATAATCAAGGTCAGGGTTTCTATTTAAAAAAAATTAAATCATCAATACTATCATCAATTTACTATTAAATATATTTGTATTGATAGTAAATTATGAGTAAAAAAAAATTGGGTATAAATACTAAAAATTTTATTTTATAATATTAAACTAACTATTAATAATAATAATAAACTGCAGCCAAAAAATCACAGGGCTCAGCCGGGATTTGAACCCGGGACCTCTCGCACCCGAAGCGAGAATCATACCCCTAGACCACTGAGCCTAACTTACATTGTTTGTGTGGATATATGTTAGCTATCGATGGACACCCACTATATAGTTGTTATTATTATTATTGTATTATTTTATTACTATTATTACTATTACTGTACTGTAGAGCGCATGTTATATATATATATACGGGATATTTCAATAGACATGTTGTTTGTAATATAGTTATTAAACTGTAAAATAAAATTATTATTATTATAATCATTACCATCGATAACCAAAAACACGTGTTTATCATTTGATCACCCATTGAATTGATCCACAATTGTCACTAAACAACTACAACATAAAAGTTAATCAATTAATTTAATTAAATTTTTTTTAAGGTAAGCATTGAATTGTGTGCATAAAAAATGTCTATTAATTTATAATATATTATATAATGATTGATATATTCATATATACTGTACCTATGATTATAGAAAATTTCAATTTTTAAATTACCGATCAATTTAATTAAATGCCGGCCATCGGTGGTAACGTTTACGGTCAACAACATCGGTCACAGCCGTCGTGTTGGGATCGAGTCAAGTATGGCTTTGCAATGGGAATGTGTGTCGGCGTCGCTTCCGGCGGTGTTTTCTGCGGTATTAACGCACTCAGGTATGTGTGTCTGTATGTATGTATGTATGTGTATGTATGTATGTGTCTGTATGTATGTGTATGTATGTATGTGTCTGTATGTATGTGTCTGTATGTATGTGTCTGTATGTATGTGTCTGTATGTATGTGTCTGTATGTATGTGTCTGTCTGTATGTGTCTGTCTGTATGTATGTATGTGTCTGTATGTATGTATGTATGTATGTGTGTGTCTGTATGTATGTATGTGTGTGTCTGTATGTATGTATGTGTGTGTCTGTATGTATGTATGTGTGTGTCTGTATGTATGTGTGTGTCTGTATGTATGTGTGTGTCTGTATGTATGTATGTATGTGTCTGTCTGTGTGTATGTATGACTTACCACTGGTCGATCACACCAATTGATATGACATCCCATATATATAATAATATATATATAAATATATATATATATATTTCATACCATTTCTCTCTCATTCCTGATCACAGGTTAGGACTTCGTGGCCGTGAATTACTGACATCGATGGCCAAAGTGATGCTTCAGGGCGGCGGTACTTTTGGCACTTTTATGTCCATCGGAACGGCCATTAGGTGCTGATATGATGATATATATATATATATAGTTTTTTTGTGGATCAGATAATTAGGTTAATTAACAATAATTATCCGTAATATTACATTACATACCCTTTTTTTACCGTACATTTTAGCTTAAAATTAATAGTATAGAAGTTACAGTCAAATACAATAATTTGAAATATTATCGATTAAAATATATTAAATAAAAAATAAATAATTGATTACAAACTTATATATATTAATATATTATTTACAACAACAAAAATTTTTAATAAACTTTATTTTATTTAAACTTAACAACAATTTATTTTTATTATTTTAACCGGATAAAATTTTATTTTTTTTATTGACACAGTATATAATATACGGGGTAATGCCATAACAAATCTAATTTCATACAACTGTCCTCAAAATTATATTATTATTATTATTATAATTATTTATCATTTTATTATTGTTGTTATCATTATAAATATGGTTCAATTCGTGTCAATTTCTTATATTTGCCCACAAGTTCAGGCAATTGATAGGCTATAGTGATGTCTAATTTATCGATAGGACAGCCCTTAAAATAGGAACAGGTAGACGTCAATGGCTTGAAATCAATCAATGGATTTGATCTGATAATAATGATAATAACAAAAATTAGTTTATAATTATTATTTGACGACAAATTATTTTTTTTTAAATACCTAAAGAACTCTCTGTAAACTCCGGGATCCGGTAAATCATATTTGGATATATTCTGCGACTGTCCCAACGCGGCGCCGCTATAGACACGATATTTCAATGGATTTTCGGTTATATCAATAGCCAATTGTCGGGAACTGGCGCCGAACGTAAAGAAGCCCTTGTTTTTGTAATAGGTTGACAAATAGCAGTCGATTAGTTTGGCGTGATTGCGCACACGTACGGCGTGCCGGCGTATGGCCGCAACGCGCGACTCGACACGCGATATGCCGCTGATTTGATTGGACAGATCCTTGAGCCACGAAACTTCCTGGTCGTCGATGAACGGGTCGTATACTTGTTGTGGAACCGCTAAGATATAATTGACAGACAAATTAATATTTGATTAGAGAGAGAGAGAGAGAGAGAGAGAGAGAGAGAGAGAGAGAGAGATAAGGAGGGGTAGAAAGAGGGGTAGAGAGAGAGAGAGATAGGGAGGGATAGAGAGAGAGAGACGGATAGAGAGAGAGAGAGAGAGAGAGACGGATAGAGAGAGAGAGAGAGATAGGGAGGGAGAGAGAGACGGATAGAGAGAGAGAGAGAGAGAGAGAGAGAGAGATTAATCACTAACTGGTTAAGGCATACACTTGTGGCGCCCTTTCCGATGGCATAATTGGCGACAAAATCCACAATAGCTGACCGATCATTGTTACCATTTGCGAGTGAGACAACTGATCCGATTTGCTTAATATGAATCTGACATCACGTCCTGACAATACAGTAATAATAATAATAATTTAGATTAAAATTATTAGATTAAAAATTATTATAATAATAATAATAATACCATCTATTATATAATGACAAACTAATTATATGTTTTAATATTGTTAAATAAAATAATTTTAATATTTTATAATTTAATTTGTGTACTATAATATTATGATATATACTACTAAAAATATACCGGTATAATATTAGATAAATAAAATAAACTAAATATATAATTTTTTAAAGTAATTAACTTTTTTTATATAAATCTAACTATGTTTAGTTAGGTATGTAAATTATATACTGGTAATTAAGTATATAATGCTTGTTTTTTAATTTAATTAAATTACCCTACTTACTTACTAATTTGTCATCAATTTATAATTTATTTTAATAAATATAAAATATAAAATTTAATGAAAATAAATCTAAACTTGATTATACAATACGTACTATACTGTATGTTATTGATAATAAATTTAACTAATTATATCAAAAAATATATCAAATATATTATAGTTTAGTTTATTAATTATCTATTTTTTATTAACTAATTTTTATTTATTAACTAATTTTAGTAATAATAATATGATTAATAAACCTCTTAATTGTTCAATAAGTGATTTTAGTTGATGTGATAGTTGCAGTTGTGTGACATCGATGACAATATAGATGACATCACTTCTATCTATAAACCATTGATAGACATCGTTATCAATTCCCGGTTGACTTAATGTTCCCGTTTTGCTAATTTGGTCCACAAGTCCTGGACTATCAATGATTGTCATCTAATTTTTAAAAATAATAATAATAATATGGTGTATATAAAAAATCAATCAAAATCACTAAAATGATAAAAAAAATAAATGTTAAACATAGATGAGATATCGATATATACTGTTATAAGATAAGTATTTATAGCAGGGTTGCGAAAGGTTTTTCGATCTCAGTGGGTAGGTATAGGGGGGGGGGGGGTAAAATATCAAAAATCTCGAAATAGCTTGGGAAGGTATAGGGGGGGGGGGTGTGATCAATTTTTATTGCAATTTTAAACGACAATTTTTGCCAAATTTGAGTAAATTTCCAATAAATTTCCATTAAATTTCCAATAAATTCCCAATAAATTGCCAACAAATTCCTAATAAATTCCCACTAAATTCCCACTAAATTATCATTAAATTCACATTAAATTCCCACTAAATTCACACAAAATTCGTATTAAATTCCCATTAAATTCTCTATAAATTCCCTATAAGTTCCCTATTTATTCTGTTTTATTTAACGGTTCGGTTTTAGATTACAATTTAATTATTTTATTTTTGTTATCGGTTTTCGGTTTAAATCTTCATATTTTTAATTTTTTCAATAAATCTAATCCTCAAGGTATCCTCAAATATCTCATCCATGGTTTACATTATTTATTAAAAAATGTTTTTTTAATAAATAAATATTAAAAACCTTTTGCAATAATTTGATAGGCATTTGATGGGCTTCGATGTAATGGTCGAGAAATTGTTGGCCAAATTGTTGAAGACTGGAGAACATATGGTCGGCGGACAGTTCGGTAGGGCTCAGTCGGGTATAGTTGTCTCCATAGCTTAATACCGAAAAATGCGGATACGATGTCTGCAAACCTTTTAGTTATTTATTTTTTTTTTTTTTGAATAAACAAATATTTTTAAAACAGATAAATAGATAAATAAAATTTAAATAAACAAAAATTGCAAACAAATTATTTTTGTTAAAAGTACTTATTTGAGTTATAAATATATTTTTTTTTGAACACACATTTGTGTAAAGTTTTTAAATTTTTTTTATATTATTAACCGTTAAAGTAAACTATTTATATATTATTGTGTGTGTATTTGTGTGTATGTATGTGTGTGTATGTATGTGTGTGTATGTATGTGTGTGTATGTGTATGTATGTGTGTGTAAATTGTAATTAAAATTGTAATCTCAATTTATTGTCGATGTCAAGCTGTTAGAGTAGATTATGTTAAGATAGATTAGGTGTGGGTGAGGTGGGGGAGGGTATGGGTTAGATTAAAATAATTGTTTTAGAAAGTTTTAAATCAGATATTTTTTAACATATATAGCATATAAATTTATAACTTTAAAGTATTGTGTATATATATGATATAATTAATAAAAAAGAAATCTAGTAGTAAAATAAATTATAATAATTAAAAAAAATAAATGATATTATTATTATTAATACTAGTAATTATTATTACCGGTATTCAATTGCATAGGACTCGAGTCGATGCCGAGTAAATAGTTAACCAATGATGTCTTTCCGCTGGATTTGCCGCCTAATAACAGTACCTTTGGTTTGGCAAACAGTTCGGCATCGCTGTGAGGCGGGGGTTGGGGTGGGGTTAGAGACATATAAGGTTAGACATAAATTTATATACATATATATATATATATATATATATAATTTATAAAATCAAATACGTTATCAATCGTGTAGTTATATATCTATATTTGTAGATCATTTCCAATGGTTTTACTGACGACTCGTACAGTCGTTTCAATTCACGAAATATCGATAAAATCAGATTCTGTTCGCTAGTGTCCTAAATAAATGATTGGATTTTTTGTTTAAAAACAAATATTCATAAAAAAAATTATTAGGTGTTGTCGTCGTTGTTGTTGTTGTTGAGACATACCTCTTGGGATCCAATCTCGTAGACCCTAAGTATGTCATCGATATGAGCTCTGGAGCGAAGTTCAATCTTTTCTTTTTCTTCTTCAGCTTCTCCTTCTTCTCCTCCGTCTTCCTCCTCTTCATCCTCTTCTTTATCATTAGTTTTATCAGTCTTTTCGTTGTCGCTATTATTTTCCTCATCTGATCCACTCTTGACTGCTGCGGCTGCTGTTGTTGCTGTCGGCGGCACTTCTTTGTTTGTCGTCGTCGTTGTCTTAGCTTCAGCAGCAACAGCAACAACGGCCTCACGTTTGACATTATGTTTGTTGTTGTCGTTGTCGTCATCGGGTTTTAATTGATTATTATTATTATTACCAACATTTGTGTCCACGTGTTCTTCCTCTTCTTCCTCCTCCTCCTCATCCGGTTCTTGACTTTCTTCTTCTTCTTCTTCATTGGTTTTCTGATCAATATTTTCATTACTTTTTGGATTTGGATTGTCGTCGTCGTCGTCGTTGTCGTCGTTATCATCGCTATTGTCTTCACTATTGTCGCAATTAGTTTCTTCTTCATCACTATTATTGTCTACTAAATTATTTTCATTGTCGTCGTCATCATCATCAGTGTCATGGTTTTTGCCATCTCTTGAATGACCAATTTCTGAATCATTTATAAAAAAAAATTAATACAATATATAAGGTATAGTATTGTATATATAGAGGACAGTTAGGTGACTACCGACCGTTGGAATGATCCCAGTATTGTCTAAGAGCTTCGTCTACCACTTCCTTGCATTTGACTTTTGTTTCATCATTTTGTTTAACTCTTGTCAATCCATATACTGGTTCTGATATTTTTAAGTTTTTTTTACCGAAAAAAAAAATTGTTTAAAAATATATATTAATAAAACATAAATAATTAAAATACTAAATGTAAAAAATAAAATAAAATAAATGATTTGTTTGTTTATTGTTAATAAATTATTCACTCATTCATTCATTCATTCAATCAAATAAAAACCTTATGGCTTACATATATTTAAAAAAAAATTTCAAATAAACATTAAAAAAAAGTTTTGTGTTTTTTTGTTTTTATTTAAAAAAAAGTATTAGTTATATAACAAACAAAAATTATTATTATTATTATTATTATATATACATATGTTTTTAAATAGTGTAAACAATATTTAATTAGCTACCATATAACCAAGTTAACTATAATAATAAAAAACTTGTTAGTGAAATATAAAAATTATATGTAGTTTTTAGCATTTTTAAATATTTTTATTATATTTGTCAATTATTTTGCATTAATATTATCATTATTTTTTTTAATTATGTTTATAAATATATTCTGTAAATAGCGTATAGACATTACATTATAAATATACAGTATATATATATGTAGGTTATATACACTACACACTAATAGTTTTAGTCAATTTAAAAGATATTTTTAAATCCATATCAATGCAATAAATTAAAGACAATTTGTTAAGAGTAAGTGAAAATGATTTTTTTTTAAAAACTGTTTCAGTAGTGTATAATACAAAAGATTTTTATTAAAAGCAAAATTTAAATACACATACACACACACACATACATACACACACATACACATACACATACACATACACATACACATACACATACACATACACATACACATACACATACACATACACATACACATACACATACACATACACATACACATACACATACACATACACATACACATACACATACACATACACATACACATACACATACACATACACATACACATACACATACACATACACATACACATACACATACACATACACACACATACACACACATACACACACATACACATACACATACACACACATACACATACACATACACACACACATACATATATATATATATTTATATATATAAACCACATACGTTATGATTATTTTTAGACAATTAAAGTGAGTCTATGTCTATGTCATTGAGTTAGCAAAATAATGTTGGCTCTAAAGTTAGCAATAAAAAAAGCCATCCCAATGGATATGTGATGTTAAACCAAAATGTGATGCTCTAAATATATGATGGAAAGGGGGGGTTATTATAGCCTGTCCTCTCTCTCTCTCTCTCTCTCTCTCTCTCTCTCTCACTCTCACTCTCTTTCTTTCTCTCTCTCTTTCTCCACATATAGCCTATCCTTATAAAGAGTATACACATCAGAGATCATACATTTTTTTAATACAACCTTTGATATGATCTTTGCAATTGAAAATATTATACTGTATATACAACAACAACAACAACAACATAGTAGTATACAATAATATTTTAGCATATTTTTTGTGGTATAATAAATTTATTTGATTTTAGCTAACCACACACACACACAAATTATACAATTATACTAACAATAAGTAATTATACAAACATTTAATTAATTATTAAACTCAAACACATTTTACACACACACACTTGAGTTTTATACACACAAAATATATATATCTATATATTTAACATACAGTAAATAAATAAATAAATAAAATAAAATACTTACTATAATAATAATCAAAATGAATTGTCGATAAATAGATGAGTAAAATTGTGACACTTATGAAATTATGCATATTTTTTAAGCTCAAAAATATTTATTTATTATTTTTTTAAATAACTATTTATATATATATATATAACTATTAAATAACTATTTAGTCGGTTGCGGTTTAGTAGTATCGGTGTGTGTGTGTGTGTGTGTGTGTGTGTGTATCGGATGACCGACCTATTGAAAAGTAATAGCAGACTATAATAATAATAATAATAATAATAATGACTAAAATGTGTTTAACACACAAACATATTGAAGCCGCGACTTTGATATAAATTTTTTAATTTTAGAGACTCTCTCTCTTTCTCTCTCACTCACTCTCTCTCTCTCTCTCTCTCTCTCTCTTTCTCTCTCTAATGTTTGAGTTGAATCTACTATTAGTTTAATCAAATTACACACAACTATAATACATATACACATCACATCACATCACATCACATCACATCCCATCGCATCCACATTACATTACATCACTATATAAAACACCCCATCATCTCATCACTAGTATATCACATACCGGTACCGACTCTATAGTAATATTCCCATTACTTTTACATTACTTGTATGTAATTGAGTGCAAAATTTTGTATAAATATTTTTTAATGTTAGGGTTTCAAAAGCTGTATATTATATTAAGTGAACTCCATATCCAATATATATTTACTAGTACCGTAAAATCTTGGATATAAGTCGATCTGGTGTATAAGTCGCAGGTCATTTATTGATAAAAATTATAATAATTTTGTTGTATAAGTCGCTCCTCATGTATAAGTCGCACAACTTTTTAATAAACTGTAACTCATGTCCAGGGGTTTTAAGAAAATAAATGCCTGCTCTGGCAATGTCTAAATAGATGCCATAAATGCCTTTCATTTTGGGCATCTATTTTATTTGCCTGCCAATTTAAATTGCTAAAAAGCAACTGTATTTATAAAAATAATCTAATTTAGTGTTTTAACGTGTTAATTAAATTTACAGTTAATTTACTTATTTCCAATAATATTACCTTTTAATTAAAGGTATACAAAACAAAAATACAAGCAAATATATTATAAAAACAATGTTTTATAAATTAATTAATAATATAAAATTAAAATAATAGGTGTCACCACCTGAAAATAGATGCCCAGGGCATGGCAGAGGCAGGGCAGGCATTTGGCAAAATTGGCATCTATTGTTTATGCCTACCATTTTTAAAACCCTGCTCATGTCATATGTAGTCAATTGTTTGATATCATTAAACAAAATGGTAAGACATTCTTACACAGCAGCGAAGAAGTTGGAAGTGATTGCTTTTGTGGAGACTTTTAGAAATTTATTTTATATTTTTTGAATTTTTTTATGTATAAGTCGCAGGTCTATATTTTTAATCTAGATCACTTTTTTTTGTTGTATAAGTCGCGACTAATACAATAGATTTTACGGTAATATATATTAATAAAATATTTATTATGCACACACAAAATAAACAGTGTTGCCAGTTATCAACAACAAATTGAACAACTTTTATCATTTATATATAGTCATTATATCATAAAATTTATGCCAATTATTAAATATTAAAATAAATTAATAAAACTTTAGTCAAAAATTAAAAAATCTTAAATTTATAACATTGTTTTATATGTTTAAACCTTAAACAATTAATATTTATATTAAATATAAAGTTTATACTATTTTTTGTTGTTGTTGTTATTTGTAATTATATGAAATTAATTTTTTGTTTTCAACTTTTACCAATTTATCAACAAAAAAAATAATTATTTAGTTTAGTAAATATAATTAATTAAAAAAAAACTATTTAGTAATGATATTAAATGTCAAATTATAAATAAACATTTAATTTTAAAATTTTAAATAAAATACAGTATTACCACCAAATAAAAAAAATTTTTGTTTGAAATACAATATTCTTTTATTATCTCATTTTTTTACAATCAGATAATTTTCAAAATATTTGTTTTTAATTTTATTTTAAATTCAACATTAGAAAAAAACAGTATTTATATATATATTTATATATATATATATAATTTATAAACACAATTTCTGTTTAAAAAGTAAATAATGAATTATTATTAATATATATATATATATACTGTATAATCAACCAAATAAAACACAAAATTAAATAATATATCTCTCATTACAACATTATTGCCTAATAATAAATAATAATAATAATAATAATTATAATTATTATTATTTATTTATTTTTTTATTACACTCAAAATCAGTTCAAAACTTTTACTTAAATATTATGTGTTGTCTTGAGGTTTGTGTCGCGTCTCTGATAACCAAATAAAAAGTTTTTTTTGTTTGTTGTGAAATCTCTCTCTCTCTCTCTCTCTCTCTCTCTCTCTCTCTCTCTCTCTCTCTCTCTCTCTCTCTCTCTCTCTCTCTCTCTCTCTCTCTTTCTCTCTCTCTCTCTCAATGGGAGACCAATTGTGCAGATTATAAGCTCCCAAATTGAGATCACACTCTCAACAGTGTATATTTACTTATCCTATCATATTTTTTTTGCCTAATAATCATCTATTGGATGCCATCTGTATATACAGTATATTCTGTATATACGTTATATATATATATATAGTATTGTATTATAAAATTGAAGGCAAAATTCATATATTATTATTATTATTATTATGTGGACATCATTGACTTGGATTGTGTGGACATCATCATCGACTCGGATGGCTGTGAATCGGTTTTCATTGCCAAATCCTGGATCACCTCCTGATAGATGACACTATCGATGTTTTGGCCCAACATATAAACTATATATATATATATATATTATTTGATTATATAATTTTGTATCAATCAAGTAATCAATTAACAGATACAAACCAAGAAACCAATCGCCGATTGATGTCCGCCGGACAATGGTATGCAAGTGATCCAATTGTGACAATCGGAACCTCATATTAAGTAGATATACCCGAACGGGCGGACAGGCAATGATAACCAAACGAAATACGATAACTATGACGGTTAGGGCGGTTAACAATAGAAACCAAAACCATATGAATATATAGATCTTTTCGTTGATGATATTCAATGGCAGTAGACATAGGGCATCGATGGTCTCGATGTTGGCCGACGGACCGTATTTATAGAAACGACATTTGGTTACTCTCGGAAATATCCGGATCATCGGATCTATACGTTCTTCTAAAATATATATATATATGTGAACAACAAAACCAAAAAAAAAAATAATAATTTCAGTTTACGATTACAGCTATGGTTCAGTTGGGGGCTGGGGGTGCTGGTGGTACGGGTTACTACGGGTCGTACGGGTTACTACGGGTTACTACGGGTTACTACGGGTTACTACGGGTTACTACGGGTTACTACGGGTTACTACGGGTTACTACGGGTTACTACGGGTTACTACGGGTTACTACGGGTTACTACGGGTTACTACGGGTTACTACGGGTTACTACGGGTTACTACGGGTTACTACGGGTTACTACGGGTTACTACGGGTCGTACGGGTTACTACGGGTGGTACGGGTAGTAGGGGTGGTAGGGGTGGTAGGGGTAGTACGGGTGGTACGGGTTACTACAGGTGGTACGGGTTACTTCGGGTGGTACGGGTTACTACGGGTTACTACGGGTCGTACGGGTGGTTATTGGGGTTGGATTACCTTGGTCAAGTTGGGCAAATTCAATAACTTGTAGACCATAGGTCAGGAATTCGCCGTCAAAAAACTTGTCCAACATATACATTTGGCCGCAAACGTTGGCCAGTGCCAGAACTTCGCAAAACAGATAGCGTGCGGCGTACCAGTTATGATGGCCCCGACTGTTGTACAGATAGTCGACCAGTAGTTTCTTTTTTTGTTTTTTTTCCTGTTCGCTACAAACGCCTACATCCAAGTCCATCATCAGGGCTTGGATTTTCCCTCCTTCCCACATCTTCCATAGCCATCGAGGAATGTAGAATAGAGTCGACTGAAAAAATAATACAAAACAAACCCATTGATAGTATTTATGATAACGAAATTCTTTGGTATTGGTCTCCATATCGACTCCCGGAGCCACTACTTCAACGCCGACCTCTTTTTTCAGACTTCTCGGCACTGTATATGTCGTATGAATCCTGAAAAACAAAATAAAATAAAATATATTTATTTATTTTATATTAATTTAAAATTAATTTATATTTTAGGTTTTAATTTAATATCTATTTTAATAACTAATTATTAACTGTATATATATTATTATTATTATTAATAATAATTGCTATATAATCTAAAGTAGTCTAAAGTATCTAAAAATTTTGTTGTTATTTATTTTTAATTAAAATACTAACTAGGATGTACTAGATAATTTTTCTAAACATAAAAAATTGGAAAATTATTACTTTTTTTTAAAAAAAAGTTTTAGTATTATTTTCTACAAAAAAAATTCAATAGTTTTGCTTATTGAAGGGTAAACCCTAACTATACTAACATTAAACTATAAAAACAAACAAACAATAACTGTATTTAATTGAGAAATTTTAATTAGGATATCATTGAATATATATATATATATATTCATTAAAAACTTTTCGATATTTGCCGGTAAAGTATGGGAGTGGGTATGTGGAGGAAAGGGATGTGGGGTAGGGGTCAGGGGTTAACCACCACAAACGTACCAACAATATGTATTGATCACACTTTGGGGAATGGCTTCGCTGCGGACACAGTCGATAGGATCGCCGACGTATTGTTTAGTAGTTATAATCACACAAAAGGCTAACAATAGTATAACAGTTATTGAATAATGCAAACGAAATATATTGTTATCGATTTGGACACGACTTGTCTTCAGCAATGTCTTTAGACTACGGAAGACATCCAACATTATTAGTATATTATTATTATAATTATCTGTTTTAGTTGATTATGACATTAGGATTAGTTGATTATGACATTGTTGTTGGTGTTGTTGTGTGAAAACATAACTTTTTCATATACTGTATATATATATATATATATATCAATATCATATATGGTATATAATATCCCAAATATACAGGTATTAGTTGATTATAATTTTTTTGAGTTTAATGATATGCATTAATAAAAATTATTATTATTATTATTATTTAATTTTGATGGCAATGATTGTAGCTATTTGGTCATTATTATAATATATATATTTATTATTAATTGTTATTAATTAAATAATTAATTTAATTATATATTTATTAATTTTTCTGGTTGATTAATAAAACTTTTTTTTATAAAGCAAATATAAATATATAAACATTATATAAACACTTTTTTTTAAAAAAAACAAATAATAAAAACTAATTGTTATAATTATTTGACATATTTGATTGTTATTATTTTTTTGTGGTTACAATTTGATTTAATTATTTTGTTGTTGTATAAACTTTATTAATTTATTATAACAAATAATTATATAACATATTTATAACACACACACACATTCACTTATGGTCTAATCCAGTAGTAGTCGGAAAATATGACATCAAATCATTGTCTAAATGGGATAATAAATTGAAAAGTTATTAATAGTGATGAATGAATGACTGACTGACTGACTGACTGATTGAATGGATGAATAAATTATATATATATATATATATATCATAACAATTCAATATAATATACTGTAATATAATTAAAATCATTTGATTTCTATATATAAAAATTGTAAGATAAGTCCAATTTTGTGATACCAGCCCATAATCATCATCATCTATAACATAGTTTTTGATGCTATGTGTTGTTGGATAAAACAACAATCATTGCTATTGTTTTTAATAGTAAAAGCCACTTATAAACATTATATACATACACTGGTATTATATACAGTATATATATATTAGGGCCACATAAGTATCGACATATAACTGCCAAATATAACTTACACTTTTGCACCAAAAATTTTATATATGGTTTATCACACACACACACACACACCACACATAAAAGTTTACTTAATAAAAATTTTTGTTGATATAGTAATTATTATATTTATTATCATTATTATTATTATGAACATTATTATTAGTATGATTTTTTTGTGGTGGATATATATTTACCAAATTAGTTTGCAAATTAAATTTAATTAAATATTTTTCTAATTAATTAGTTAATATATTTTATATATATATATATATATAATTAGTTGTTTGGATTTTTTTTTAATTATTATTATTATTATATATTAAAATAA